CTTAGGAGTGCATTACAGTAAACATTTCTTTTTATATGATCATCAGTGAAATATCTTGGGCTTTAGGGTAGAGTCAGTGTCCTGTTAACGTGATGGGTTTGACCATGTTTTTGAACTTGCTGCTTGAAATTTGATTGCATTAGCAAATCTCTTGCATAGGTTCAGAAGCTTCTAAAGGAACGTGGTTATTTGGTGAATAAAATCAGAAATAGAATAAAATCTTGATATTTAGAAAAGTGATCTATTTTAATATGGTGGTTGTGGGTTAACCCTGGCAGGCAGCTCAGCCCTACAGAGCTGGTCGCTCACTCTTGCCCAGTGGGATGGAGGAGAAAACCAGAAGGGTAAAACAGTGAGAGAACTTGTGGGTTGAGGTAAAGACCTGTACAGCGGCTTGTTAGTCAGTCACTTTCCTGAGCTGGATTTGACTTTGGTGATGATAGCCAGCTTGTTAAGACACACAGCTGGAGCTCTTGAGTCCGCGCATGGTAGCTGGCAGGTGGATTCATCTACATGGTCAGCGAAGAAATGACCATAAGACATGAGAGAAATAGGTTCTAAATTAATGGTTATAAGCCTTAGGTTCCTTGCAGTTGTTTTGGATAGGGAGAATAGTTCAAATGAGAAGATGGCAACAAGGCGGGGGAGGAGGGGCGGGAAATCAATATTAATTTGAGCAGAAGAGAAGGAACCAGGGTTTCTGGTACTTAACAGAGATGTTTGTCTGAGTGTAAGTAAATCTGGAAACTTAAGAAGTGACAAAAATCCTTAATACTGGAGCACTCAATACTGAGCTCAATACAGAACTGAGACAAGAGGGATGGAAAAAGGAAGAAAGTACATGTGAGCTTTACAGCCAGCTGCTACAGCCTAGCTCAGGAGACAGTCGGTCTGCGGTAATGGTGTTTGGAATAAGCAGGGTTATCTAGGGTACCAGATTAATTTTATGGCAGCCACTACATCTGGACCCAAAGTCTGTAGATTGTTTTACAGATTCAGTTGATGGATAATTGTCTCTTTTGAAAAATATGTCATTAATTTTGACTGTCTCTCTTCTAGCTAATAGATGGCCATAGTTGTTTAAAAGTGTGCAGGGCTAGTTAGCCAGAAGCTGTTTAATAACATAGATTGGGAATTGAGGTCTGCAGTGCACTCAAAAAAATTTTTTTAAAGAGCAATATGTGACATATTGTGGTCTAAGAAACAAACTAGTTATTTAATTGTGCAAATTGCGTAGATTTTTGTTAAAAAAAAAATCCTTATTACACTTCACAATTTCTAATTTCCTATCTGACCTTTTTTTTTTAATTTTTAAGGTTTAATTTGCATGTTCACATCTTTTCCTATGTATAGTACTGTAGATCAGTCTGCATCATGGGGTCTTCATGGGTTTGTTTTTTTTTCTTTGAAGCTATCTTTAATTGAAATAATATAATGGCTTCACTTCTAAATCCTCATTCCACTTATCTAGGGTTTAACTTAAATGGACTTTTGATAAAGAACGTTTGCAACAATTGACTTTGAAGACTTCAAACATGGCTGCTTATAAGGCCAAAAGTTGTGCTCTGGTTATTCTTACTTTTGGAGGTAACATTTAAAAATTATCTTTCCACAAGGCGCACTTCATTGAAGTAATGAAAGTGCCATACAACGTATTGGACTCGATCTCACTAAGACAACACACACCAACTTTACTGTAAGATACTGCACTAAGGTACCACAAAATTCATCAAAACACACTTAAAAAGCCTTTATACCTGCACATCAGACAGTAGTACTGAATTATTCTGAAATCGGAGCACTACCTACAGTATAAGGACATAACAAAAAAAAAGTTCAGTTTCATTGGCTTTTCAAGACCTAGCATTTTCTGTACCATGAAGTTAATAACACTAATCTATATCCACAATTTGTCAGGCATCTTCATTATTTGATGCCTGAATGTGAATGCATAATACAACTGTAGCAACTGATGGAGTTGCTTGAGGAGTGCCGATACAATGTGCATAAATTTCTTTATCTGACATTTTATGCTTGGAAGAGTATGCAGTTTGGAAGGGAAGGAGTGGCTCAGTCAGGCTTTACTTAGGCTGAACTTCAGAACAGTATGAATTGCACAGTACGCATCTGTATCTGCTGATGCTCCAAGTGATTAGGCTACTATCAAAGTTTGTTGGCACAGGCAGGAAGTGCTTATTACAGATAAAAATGAAAATTAAAAAGCAAAGAAAACAAGTATGTTGGATTTTTTTAATTTTTTTTTTCTTTGTGTGACTTAAACCTATAGAACATCTGTAGTTATGGAAAAAATACCTCTGAGAGACAGTCCTTTTCCCTGTATTGTTCTTTGTTCTGAAAAATCATTAGATTGGGCTCATATTGATCTTTTCTGGAGAAGACTTGCCTCTGCCAGATTCCTGCTTTTAGCAGTTTGTTACTAGAGTGCTCGATAACAGTATCACATTTAAAGCCATGTGTGCTTGGCTGCATTCCCCTGTTGAAGGCAATCATCATCTTTGCAAGATAACTAAATATCAATCCATTCATGCCTTTTAAAATAAGACCTAAAATCAGGATTTTAAATTAAGATATTAATTTAGTTGAAAGATGGTGTTTTTACCAAAAGTTGCTTCTGTGCTTCTGCTTTTATTTAAAAATGCATGATTCTAACTGCTGAATAGTCTTGAGGTTTTTTGTAATGTTTGCATTAATGCCTAGGGGAATTTAGAGGAGGAGATTAATTTTTCTAGAGATGCTAAGATTAAAAATTATGCAAAAAACCACTTTGGGTTACCAGTTAGTTACTTTAATACCATCTTCTAATCCCAAGACTTGTTACTGCCCTCTAGCAAGTAAGCCTTCTGAAAGAGCTAGACAAGACTACTGCTTCATCAGTCCTAATGCTGTTTAACTTCTTAGCTTTTTCACTGCACATCTTTTATTAATTAATTCATGTGGATAAATGCACCAAAAATACAAATAGCAATCATAGTAATTGATAGCTCTAAGGCTAGTGGGTGTGCTTCTGAAACCAAAGGGGTCGTCTTGTGCTGAAGAGCTGTGTGTTCCGTTTGCAAAGCTGTGTGATCGCTGATGGGGTTGGTAGCAGAGCAGTTGTTATTACATGATTCTTGCTTTTACTTTCTCACACAGAAACCATCTTTTTCAAAAAAACAGTACAAAAACAAACATGTACAAATAACTGTTTAAACTTTGTGTTTTACATAGCCTATCATATATGTGCCACCCTTCTTTTTCCTTCACGTAGAAGTAAACTGGTGAGGAGAATAGTTCTGTGATGTTTAAAGCACAGCAGATAAAGAACATGGGCTTCTTTTTTTCCCTCCCTTGTGTGAAAAATTTGCAAAGAACGGTCGTCTTAAATCTGTTGAAGATTAAAGTTGAGACTCCATATATTATAAGGACTAACTAACAAATACAGTATATTTATTTAGTGTAGTATAAGGAGGAACTAGAAAATTGCCTAGATATGAGATTTTTGGGGGGATAGAAAGCTCTCACAAAGGAAGTAGTAGTAGTCTATTTTTTCTGGGATTGTTTGCTAGACAAACTTCTAATAAATGTATTATAATAAATAGTCAGCTGTTAAGTGGATCTGTGGCTAGTGCTTACAAATCTCTTCTAGTTTCTGTAAAAAATAAGTATTAAAGTTTCTTTTTAAAGTTTAGCTGTATTAGATGATCTGTCATAGTTTATGGGTTGTTCTGTGGTTTGTTTTGTTGTTTTTCTTTTTTTTTTTTTAATCTGTATTAATGACTCATTACTTTCATTCATTTTCCGTCTTTCTGTAGCTGTAGGATAACACTTACTTTACCTTAATTTTTTTGATCCAACTTCCTCCTATGGCAAAAAGAAAACAAAAATATAATCAGACCACTGGCTGAGAGAATTAGTTATGAGGTAGATCTAGTGTTTTTTTTTTTTCTGGAAAAGAGGACTCGTGCAAGAGTCTCCAGGATCAGTGACTAAAACACCATACCACATTACTTGTGGACAAATGCAGGCTCCTGGCTTTCAGGTAGCAATGTACTGAGGTTGCAAATATATTAAGTTCTGGCTCAGTTTGCTTTTCAGGATCATTTCCTGTAATAGTTTGACTCCTTGTATTCTGCTAAAATCTGTGCCTGCTCCTTCTTGAGAGTGACATTCCCTTTGGACTGTGTTCAGACCTTAAAGCTAATAGCAACCCGGACATGGAATAAAAAAGAAAAACAGTTCGGTGCCGGTAGTGGGATGTGACAGTTTGGTTATAGCTGGAATTATGGGGATCTGCAAACTTAGAGCTAAACAGGAAAAATTTGACACCAGGGTGTTTTCACAGATTAAGGAAAAAGTAGATTTCTGGAATTAAACATGCACAAACCAAAATATATAATTTAGCTAATTTTTCTGTTACTTTAGGAAATTGCTGTATCCCTCACTGCTAACATATGAGATAGTTGCTACAGTAATTGATCTCAAATCATCTCTTGCCTTAGTAAGAACTTTTTTAAAGCTGTCTAAATCTTGAGTCTTGTCATACAGAAATAGTAAAGAGAAATACACTTAAAATATTGAGGAAAAACCAAGTCACACTGCAAAGTGCACTGGATCCTTAATAACTTTTTAAATTTTAAAAACTGCTGGTTTGGCACAGATTTTTCACTTCAGAATTTTGCTACCTTGCTATGGGTGGAGGATATCTCTAGTACTGAAAAATAAAATAGCATGTGAATTTTGCCAACAGCTGATTTATTCTTCAGAGGGGGAATAAAATGTTGCATCACTTGACATTCCACTGTCTTGCATGCTATTCTTGTTCTAAGCCAGGATGGAAAAAATTGAAGTCTGTAATTTTACATTTGGGGTAATGTTGATGTCTGTTCCAAACTTATGGAGAGTGTGTCTGAGTGCCTAATTATTATTTTATAGTCCTTTTTGATAGCCCATTTCAGTGTTTAGAGGTGGATTCTCAGTAGTGTTCTCTTTGCAATTTATAGACGATCTGCTGTTGCCCGCATTCAGGAGCTCTTCAGAAGGAGGAAAGAAAGAAAAGAAATGGAAGAACTTGAAACATTGAATATTAGACGTCCTTTAGTAAAGATGGTTTATAAAGGTCATCGGAACTCACGAACAATGGTACAACCTCTTTGTCTGTTTTGGGAACTGTAGAGGTTTTATGGACTGAATCAGTGCAGCTGCCACATTGATATGCTTGCCAAAAAGGATATTGCATTTAAGTTTTCTTGAGTTTAAGATTGTCTCCCCTTAACTTCTTTTGAAATCTTGTGAGGTTTTTTCTTTTTAATTTTGTCTGTCACCTTAAGAGGTATAAAATGTGCCTACCTTCAAAATTATGATTTAATCCTCATTTTCCCTTCCAAGCTGTTCAAAATTATTATTTAATCTTTAAATTTAAAGAGCTTGGAATGAAAATGAGGATGAAGCCATAGTTTTGAAGAGCCTTGACGTCTCTGAATTAAAAAAAAAAAAAAGGAAATAGTGCTAGTTATTAAATCATAATCTAACTACTAGATTACATTGTCTTTTTCATACAAAAAACTGTATTTAAAGAAAAATGCAGTTACTGTGTTTGTAAAACAGTGGTGCAGAAGAAACAAATGCTGTTTTCCTTGCTATTTATTTTTTCACATTTTACAGTATTTTGAAGATGTAAATTTCTGAGTACTAGGTGGTATTTTGTAAAAATAGCAAGTGTATTATTTTGCAGATGATCTGCAGAGTAGTTCCTCTACCTCCAAAATCAATTTTCAAGAGTTTGTATGAATGGCTTTGATTGCACTGGGGAAAATGCTTCAGTAAATGCATATTTCGGTCTACATAATCAACAAGGCTTAGAATAAACTTTGATTAGTGACAAGGAGTTTTGCGCTGTATTTCAGGAATTAATTTTAATTGCTCAAAAACCCATTAGTTTAGAAGTCATATCATCAAGCACTTTGTAGTTAAGAAACATTAAAACTAAACTTGCCCAAGTGGTCTTAATTCAGTCTCCATCTGTGTATGTGTTGTTATACAGATTATTTAATGGATTTTGTTGTTTTGTTTCTTTGGGATGTGGGTTGGTGGTTTTGCTTTTGATTCACATGAGCACCTATGACAAGGAATGCATACAATGAAAGGAGATATAATTTTCCCTGTTGGTTTCTGTGGTGGCTAACTTAATTTTAATTTATTTTTTTGACTGATTCCTGCAAGGCAAGGGCTGATGGTATTTCCCTTTTAAATTTGTGAAGGAGACAGCTTAGAGGGGTATTGTTTCCTATGCACCTGAGCAGCCCAAGGATAAAGTTGTCTCATCAACTACATGGACGTGAACTGTTGTAATGCATATAGATAGATAGAAATATAAAAGGAGATTGAATTAAGGTTATACGGGCAAACTGAATGATTCTGGTACTTTCGAGAACTTAGTTTGACAATCTTACAGCTTGTTTAATAAAAATATTTTAAGTGTAATTCTTACGTTGTCAGAAAGCAAAAGCTAAGTAGCACTATGTTGATGTTTGCTTGCACCATAGGCAGGGTTGGAATGTTTTTATGTCCATCACAGAGGTCCCTGCCATGTAACCACTCAAATAATGTCATCAGAGTCCTGAGTGTTACTGTTTTTTCCTGTTTCTCTTTAGCTCTTCGAGGAGGGGAAAAAAAAATGCTCTTGAGCCCAAATTCCCTTTCTTTTTCTTCAAAATTTCTATTTTGCCATGTGCCTTCAGTTCTTTGTCTCTCCTGTCTCTTCCTCACTATTTTCCGTGTCTTAGTCTTTGTGTCCTAGTCTTATTTCCTTTCATATATATACACCATTCTTCCTCTAGTCCACTCACCCACAGTCCTATATTAAAATACTAACTTCAGAGAAACTTTTCTATGTGTAATAAATGGGCTAAGTTGTGTATGCATGCAATAGATGTGAGTCTGTATATGAGTTTGAAAACAAAATATTGAAATGTGAATTTCAATTTTGTTAATTATGTAGTGCTAAAATTGGGGTTTATTAATATTAGAATTGTAAAATCAGCAGTTACATAAGAGAATACAAAGGAATCAAGAAGTCATAATCGAGATTTAAAATATAAAGTTATTTATTATTGGAGATAATTTAGTTGTACTTCTAACATAATAGTGAAGAATATATACTAAGAGGAGCTATAAAACAAAAGCTGCCAAAAGATTAATATATTGGAAACATGTCTTTCACTACAGAATCCAGGAATGCAGCTTCTATGGCTTATTTTTAGAGATCAGAATGACTTTATTGCACTGAATGCAATCATTGGTACATATTCTATAGACAGAGATCTAGCAAGCCTGAAATTTAAAACTGGACATGCTCATGCTGGAAATAAAGTACCTATTTTTAACAGCGGTAAGGGTTTGGCTTACTAATACGATTCTTTATCATGGTGATTTTTAAACCAAGATAGCTGGGGCAAAGCACAGAGCAAGAAAATGTGTCTCTCCTTTTCTCCAGTGCATGTTCTGAGAAAACTATGCAAAAAGAAAGATGAGGATGCAGGCACTGTCCTCTTCAGAGCTCTATTGTGATGTGTCACTTGGAAAATAATTCCATAGTAGGATTCTGTGTAAATTGTCTCAAACTAAAAATTCTGTCCTTATGCCAGATACATTCTTAAATACTAAAAATTAGGATATTATTTTATGCTAAACTTCAAACACTGGACACCAATGAATGACACTGTATGAACCCTGAAAGCTGCTGCGTAGGAATCTTCTGTTCACATAGCTATCTTTTTTGCCCAATGTATGTTAATTTAAAGAGTTCATAAGAGGTACCGGTAACTGTTTAACGTGTAAACTTGTGTGTAGGTTTACGTGTTTACCTTCCAGACTCTTTTCTCCTGCACAAACACTGGACTATTGTGGAGCTTTCAGCTTACCTCTTGTGACTGAGTTTTGACTGTTCTTGAAGCAATGTCCCTCCTCCTCCTGCCACCCCATCTAACCTCTCACCCTGCAGATGATATAGGACAGAAGTGGAAAAGCTGTTGCCTAGCCTGTTCCTGCTTTAAATAGTTTAACAGTGGTTATTCTGAGTAAAATCAGAAGTGATTTCTGAAGAAGATTCTAATCCATAGTGAAAGAAGTGACCCACTCTTGTTTGCTCAGGCTAGTCTTTTGGGTTACATCTTTTTAGGAAAGAAGAGCAAGAGAGGCTGTGGCATGGAAAGATTATTTTACATTTAACAAACCTAATAGTTGCTTCTTGAAAAAAATACTTGAGTGGCTTTTTTTTTTGGCTCAGAAATTGAATAAGCCACATTCTTTCAGGGTGTAATCATAAGGGTATCTTGAATGTAACAGGTGTAGCATAATACCAACATTACATTTTGAGGAAATGGATATCTGATACTGCTGCCACTTTTTCCTGGCCTGCAATTTCTGTCGTTTACATGATCATTTTCACTGTAATACTACTCTGTTTCATAGGTCAGACTGCTTCAGTCGCCTTCAGTTCCAAAACTCATGAGACTGCAGATTGATGAAACACTTGAATATGGGTTTTCTGACTGAATTAGTAAATACACAATTAATAAATAATACAGCATTTGCTACACAAGTAATTGTTTATAAATTACATTTAAGAAATAAAAACAGTATTGTCTAGTATAAATAAGAAATACATGAAACCATACAAAAATGCAGATAATACGTATAAATTATTATCAGATAATAGATTATTATTATAATCCTATGACAATACCACCTTTTGGGGAGAGAGATGGGAACAAAGGGGAGAAAAAAGTTCATATTAGTGACTCACTTGTCTCCCAAAGACTTCTTCCAAGTCTAGTACATGTCAGGTTAGCTGTCTTGTCATGGACTATATCTGCGATTTTCTTTAATTCTCAGAATCTGGGACAAGACAGTCTCGCCATTTTGAGGGGAGAGACTTGATGAGTTCATTAGAAAGGGTTCACAGCATTGTTAGCCAATGCGTACCCAGAACAATGATGCTGATGAGACCATGAATGTTTATGGAGCTTAAGACAGTGGGTTTAAATACCTCCTGAATTATAACACTTCACATAAGGAAAGGGAAATAGATGATGTAATAAACCATAATATAATATACTAGCCTAAAGCGTGAGCATACTGTTCCCTAAAACTCCCCTTGTCCTTTCACCCAGAGGATGATGATGTCCCTCTCTTCATCGGATGAATAGAAAGCCGTGCATTGATGGCAGGGGAGGAAGGGCAGAATGTGAGCAGAAGCCTTTGCCGTCGCTGCCAAGGCGGTCCCCCAGCTCCCATGGAAGCCTTCTGTCAGCCTCCCGTGGCGCTGCCAGAGCTTCCCGGAGGAGCTGCCAGAAGGGAAAAGCCCGAGTGCACGCTGTCTGCACCACTTCACTGGCTGTGAGGCACTGCAACAAACTGTACAGCTGCGGTGAGATGTGGCTGGTTTTCTGGAAGCTTTCTCCTGGACCTTGGGTCTCTCCGCAAATCCCTTCAGTCAGTGGCGTGTCCAGCCCAGTTGTGCTCACTCACAAACAGATGTGCACACTTCAACTCACATTGCAGTGTTCGAATGTCCTCCCACCTTTTCTGGCTTATGAAAAATTCTTGAGTAATTTGTGCATCTTTCAAGTAAAAATTATTCTAAGAGGTGTAGAATTTCCTCCTTCAGATATGCAGTTCTTCAGTCAGAAGTCTTCCTTGAACGTTTTAATTACAGCCGATTATACTCCAGGGTCAAACTCCTATGTTATCAATAACATTATAGAGGAGTTAGCTGTAGGCCAAAACCAAAGAGCACCCAATTAAAATTTCTGATAGGTAAGTGATATAAAAATTAATATAATTTGTGTGATGCTAATCCAGTCAGTACAAAGTAAAATTCCATGAACTGGCCCATGATGCTAGAATGACCTCAGTGTGAGCAGCGGGCCCTCAAACAACTCACTGCCTTGGCAAGGTAGGTTTTACCTTGCCCTCTAAATTCATACACAGCAACATGTATATTTAAAAAAAAAAATTTAAAAATACTAAATAGTCCACGTTGGCAATGTACTACACATACTCTTTGCTGGTAGCATGGTAACGTGACAAATGTTAGTTACATCACTTCAAACATTTTACAAAGGTGCTCAAATACCTCATCAAAGTAATAATAGGAACAACTATATAGAATGGAATGAATCATTGCTGTGTCAAAAAACCTGTGATATTATTGGTTACACTTGAAGGGAGAGATGCTTGTACTTTCATCCTCTATTACTGTAATAGCTGAAGCTTAGGGGTCACTTCTACCTGGATGTCTTCCTTGTTCAGTGGCTTACAACTTTAATTTTGGCCTTGGAATAGGAAGTTTTAGTTGTTATCTGATGGATTATAGAGGGGGGAGAAAAAATTTCTAAGTTTGATTTCATGACTCCTTTTTATCTGTCAGACCCAGTTAATTCCCACCCCCTAGTTTTCATGAGCTTCTGTCCTGTGTCCTCTTCCTCTGTAAATGGAAAATCCCCAAAAGGGATTAATTAGCCTGTCACTTTGATTTACCAAACTCTTCCCAAAAACTGTTTCACATAACTCTGTCTCCAGTATCATTCCCATCACTTTGTAAAGTGACAAATCTGCTGTCATTTATTTCTGAACTGCTCAGTCTACCCCAACTCCTCTCCTTTTTTCTGTTAGCAGCCACTTTGCTCTGGAGATCTTTAGCCTTCTGATTTTTTTTTTTTTTTTGGATCATTTTTCTCTAAATATTTCCTTTAACTTGTCTTAAATGTTGTTTCTGCATTTGCAGAGCTCTTACTTCAGAGTTGGTGTTATTGTAGAAACAGGAGTATATTCTTTGATGTGCTTTCCAAGCTAGTCTTATAAAGTAATTGTTTTTTTTGTTTTTTACTGCAGATAAAGGAAGCCAATTTTTGGGGATCTAACTTTGTCATGAGTGGTTCAGACTGTGGCCATATTTTTATATGGGATCGACATACTTCTGAACATCTCATGCTGCTGGAAGCTGATAATCATGTGGTGAACTGTCTTCAGCCTCATCCATTTGACCCAAGTAAGATGATGATGTTTCACAGTCTGCATTGTTCAGGTTATCTGTAGTAAAGCATTTTAAAGCTCAGTCTGAAATTCTTTGCTCAGTAGAGCATTACAATGATTAATGAACTATTGTTCATTTTTTCCCCATATAAATTAGATAATATTGCTTTTAATTTTGCCTTTTACTAATGACCTTTGGCTCTTAACCCTTCTTATTCAATAACATCTTGGAGTGGAAACATTACTGACACAGTATTTATATAAAGTTAAGATGTAGTAAGAAGAATCTCCATTTCTGGCTCCCCTCAATATGTTAAATGTTTTCTGTGACACAAATGGGGGAAATATGTGGTCACTGAAATGCCAGCAACACTGTGGGAACTGATATTGGAATCTGGTCTCCATTTGGCTCTGTTCAAAAAATTGAGTGAAGTGGGTGTCTCAGTCTCACTGGCTTTGTGAGATTAGGAGAATGAATACATTTCATAGAAATTCCATTAATTTGTATTTAGGGGGAAACATATATAGAAAAGATGGACCACAGTAGTAGAAGGAATCATGTGTTGTCATGTAGATGGAAAATCTGAATCATTCTGCAGCTTCTGACAGTCAAAGAAAGTATTTGTGTTATTTCTTTTTTTATATCTTAGATGGCTGCAGAGTAACAGTCAGCTGTAAATAAATATGCAAATAAAACTGTTATAATAATACTAGAAGAGGCTGGTTTTTTTCAGACAGTTTGTGGAAACATGGAATATGCCCTATATTGGACAAGCCTTGAACTTTTAAATGCTTAACTGAAATTGTGTTTCTGTACATGTTTGGAGGGTGTGGCTAGGTTGGACACTTCTTTTGGAAGCACCTTTCAAAATGCCCTGTAGCTTTACTGAGTGTGACTTTCTTCCTGTAACACACTGAAAATGTAATGAAGAGGTCATCCTTCCTGTAGGACAGTTAATCTTGTACAGTTTTTTAGTTACTGAGATCTTTCCATGGAATTTTTATTCCTATAGGTGATTTGTGCAATGATCTAGAGAATGTTTTTTGCATCTTGTTGTTTTCCGTATTTTAATCAGTGTTTATAAGAGCATCCATTGTTTCTTTATATTTGAATATCACATAAATTTAGATGAAATACACTGATATTATGAAATATCAAAATAGGTTTGAAATTATCTTGCTTCTGTCTTTGTATCTGTGTCTACCAATCCTAAGGTTTTGTTGTTAATGCATATACTTATCAGGTCATCAGCAGAAATACATTAGTAGTGGCTGGGTTTGTTCTTTCTGCTTCTATCTTACGTATATTTTGGTGTGTTTTTTTTTTACTCGAAAAAGGAGACAATGTTTGCATGTGTTTTCTTCATACATTAAAAAAATATACAATCTGTAGCTCAGATCTTCTATGGCAACAGTAATTACATAGCTGTATGTTCAGCATAGGAAACTGATATTTGCAAATGCTTCAGGTGAAGTATTTTTCCTCAACTCCAGTTAAGTGCAGAAAATGCTGGTAAAGACATAACACATTTAATTTAGAACTAATGTTACTTGCTTCTAGTTCTGGCCTCTTCGGGTATTGATTATGATATAAAAATTTGGTCACCATTGGAAGAGTCCAAGATTTTTAACAGAAAACTTGCAGATGAGGTAAGAACCCTTCCTCCCTTTTAACAGTAATGTTGCATCTTCCAATTCTACAAAAGCCTTTGGTGATAATTACCAATATTGAATTAACAGGGTTATTTAATATTCAACAAATGAGCTACAAATAAAAAGCTGCCCTTTATAATAGCTAACTTTCATATAATTGGCAGCACACAGAGGCACTGTGTATTTCATTAACTCTCCTAGAAATTATGTGATATGATCTGGCATTATGTACATGAAAGAAGCTGGAAAAAGTATGAACAGTCAGATACAGAAGGAAAAATGGCAGAAATTAAGGTAGTGACTGTCTTGAAGCAAATAAATTAACTGAAGGAAATACAGTGATACACAGAGAGTGCAAAAATCAATCCTATTAAATATTCTGTGGCATAAAAAGGAGTTAAGGTTAAGATTGCAAATTGGGAACTTCATGGAACAAAGCAAACACTGCAATCCTGATCAGTTATAAAAGTCCGTATGTAAAGTTGTGTCACGCTTTGTTTTCATACCCTCAAAGCAATAACAATGTCTATAGCAATGGGCTATGGTGATCATATAGTTGACTACTGAGTAATCATAATTTATTGATTTCCATAACATAGTTTATTAAAATGCTGGATGTTTTTCTTTAAGTAATATATATGGGCAAATGTGGTTGTGGAGTGTTTTGGGGTTTTTTTTTGTGCAATCTCTTGGACAGCAGCGATGTACCAGACTGGGGTTTTTTAATTATTAATTCTCTGTATTAGTGCTATATATATTTAAAACAAACAGAAACCCACAAGCCTTAGCCACCCTCTCCCCCCAGTCTCCCTGAAAAAAAAAAAAACAACCCATCCACTTGGGAGTTTTGAACCTTTCCCATTATTTTAGCAGTAGTAACACTGACTGAAGTAATGTTTTGTATATTGTATGATAGTTTTAATCTGTAATGTTTTTTGGGGGCCTTTGGGGTTTAGAAATATTGCTAAACATAAATGTGTGCCAAAAGTAATTATTATACTTTTGTAATTTAATTTTTAATAATTACAAATTATTTAGATAATTAAATATTTTAATAAAAATGTAGAACTTTCAGAAAATCTGACCATAGTGTGGTTTGTAATTTTACATGCTTTCTGTATTTCAATTTAACCCCTATATTGAAATACCTAGGTAGAGGACGGGAGAGGTTTCACTATGTTATATCTGGATAGAGTAAGTGTCCAACATATCTGAACTGAATTTCCATGGAAGGGAAGGTCTCGGGAGAAAGCATTGCATTTAGAGAAAGTTCGGTATGGATGTAGAACCGTATTTAAAATTAAGAGAGGCCATGACCTTAGTGAATAGGAAAAGACAGCAGGAATGGGAACAAATCTCTGAACAGAGAAACAGCATTAGAAGCAGGTTGTCAAAGGGGTGTTACTGATGCTGCACTGGAAAAATAGGAGGTGAAAAGGGAAAAAATGGTAGCCTCCTGCCTTCTCAGTTTGCTTCTTTTAGGGAGTGATCAGCTGTGCAAAGTGCCTGGTGAACAGATGAGAATGGCAGAAAAGAGCTGCTTTGATTTGTCTAGGAGAAGGCCAGTGCAGACATTTGCAAGAACATGTTCCTCACAAGAGAAACGGACTTGAGAAGGAGTCTGAGGGAAAAATAAATGCATTATTGTTCTAGCTTACAGCAGTTGATCTGGGAGGAAGGACTGAATAATGGTCAGAACTTGTCACCAGCTAAAGAAATTTTTATGCTTAGTGATAATGAAAGAATGAAGTCTAAAAGCTGAGAGACAAGTTAAGGTGTGGGTTTAGAACTTAATGGCAAAGCAAGAAGGATGGCAAAGTGCCACGAGGAAGGAAGGAGGCAAAAGAGCTAACAGTATTTGTTAGTGATTTTATTTTTCCTTGAAACGAAGACCGTAGGAGCTGGCTCTCTTGAGTCATTTAGAGGCAAGCTCTAGATCTGTTCCTGAACTGGGATAGAGTAATTGCTTGTGTTCCTTGGATGTTCTCCAAAAGTCTCAAGCAGCCTGAAGATAGGAGTTTAGGGTAACTTCATCTCTTTTACTTCCCACATTCTTGGCCAGTGCTGGTGCTAGAACTGTGTTCTCTACAGCAGTTGCCATCTGTAACAGTACTTTCTCTGATCAGTCCTCCTTATTTCATACAAGATCTCATTTCCAAATGTTTTTCTCAGTTGCTCGTCTTAATATCTACCATGTGTTTGGACAATGCAATGACGATCTTACAAAAATATTCTATAGATAGACAATTAGGCAGAGTCCACTGTCTGACTTTTCTTACAATGTACAATTGGTGTAACTATATTTGATAGTAATTATTGAAATGTTGTTCTCTTACTGTAATTTTGTACTGTCTAAATGCCTTTTGCATAGGAACTTTGTATCTACAAACTGATATTGGTGCAGTACAATTTTGTGTTTGTTTTTGATGTTTTTTCCCCTTCCCTGCCTTCAGGTTATAACACGTAATGAATTAATGCTGGAAGAGACCAGAAACACTATTACTGTTCCAGCTTCTTTTATGTTACGAATGTTGGCTTCGTTGAACCATATAAGAGCAGGTGAGAGACTTCTGAAGATCTCATCCACCACACTGGTCTATGAAATAGCAGATGGATTGGGGAACCATCCAGATCTTTAGCTGTCTGTGGCTACACTTAGGGTCGGTGAGAAGATTTAAGGGTTTTTCAAAGATCTCTTAATAAAAGTACTTAGGAATTGCTTCTTTGGTGTGAGACTTGCAATATTTTTGCAGCTGTTATTTTTTCCCTCGAAACAAAGAGCAAGAAAAGAGCAAAATATATTTTCAGATGTTCCCATACTATCCTACCTGAAATAGCTTATTCATAATGTGCTACTAATCAGATGTTGAAAACTACTGTCTTTATTCAGGAATGATCTTTAAGGTAAGTGCTGTGTGATGGGAATTGGGAATGACTGGAATGAGTCAAAAATTAAGCTGACGTTGTAGGCTTGGAATTATCTAGGGGTGAAGGAGGGTGTGAAGATACAGGACTGTAGGAGATGCTAATGAGGCCACTGGCAGGTTCCTGGGGCAGCAGGTACTAGGGTGTCCCTTCAGCAAAGGGGCAGTTCTCTAGGGGCTGAAACTGGTGATATGAGGGGTTGAATGGAGATTCATTGTTGGGAACTGGTGTTCCTGGATGTTGGTGCTGAAGAACATGACTGCAGTGGGATGTAGGACAGTGAGGAGACATCATGCTGGGTAGAAAGCAAGGAAATTAAGTTTTGAGAGGCTGGTACGACATAAGGGGTGGAAACCTAACAGAACTGTGGGTGAAAGTGACTGTAGATACCGAATATGGGGACTCCAGCACTGGTGGGCAGAGCAGTAGGCTTACAGTGATGAGGTAGGAAGGAAGCTCTGCCTGGCAGCCACTGCTGCTCCTCTGTCACCTCTTGCTGATCTGTGAGAATTAGAGCACCAGGAGGATGCCACTGTAACCAGCCAAGTGGTATGCCTCACCATTGCTGTAACTGAATATATTAGTTTGGGATTTTTTTCATTTGTCATGTTTTCTTTGGTTATTCCAAAATACCCAAAAAACTGCCCAACACTTGAGTTACAACAGTTTCAGCAAAAATCCGTGTTATGTCTGGGTGGAGTATTTCTTAACTTGACAGTGCATGTTGTTTCAGTGACAGATCTTGAGCCAACTGTGTTCCCTCACAGATTTCTGTATTTGCCTTTCTCTAAACATTTGCATCAAAAGGTACTTTTGCTGATAGTGACAGACAGTGATTCCCCAGTTTTCTGGAGTATACAAATTTACAATTGCAGCTATTCTAGTTTTAGCTCCCTGGAACAGTGTTTCAATCCCTTGTATTCACCATCTTTTTTTTAATATTATGCTTGCATTCATATTTCCTCTGCTGACATCCAGTCAGCAGCTACAAGGTTTCTCCTTTTGTACACAAATTTCACTTTTATGCTTGGAAATCCTTTAGGGCTTTTCTCCTGTTATCCTTTATTTTGGTAACATTTCTACCCAATCTCCGCTGTCAGTCCATATGGACTTCCTTTTTCCTTATAACCCACAGCCACTCTGTGTTGTATAATAGCCCAGGGAGATGGTGCACTATAAATATTTACCAAAAACTGAAAACTTTAGTAGTTCTCTTTATTAAATTTATCTCTGTGTCTTACAGACCGATTGGAAGGTGACAGATCAGAAGGATCTGGTCAGGAAAATGAAAATGAAGATGAAGAGTAACTGGCAGTTGTGTGCAAGTACCTAGATGTTAATGGAATTTGTACAAGACATTAATTATATTTTTCCTTACAGAGCTTTAGTGCAATTCTAAGGTATTGCTTTTGGATAACCTAACCTTTTGTTTTTGAATGACTGTGTGCATGACTTTGGGAGAGTGTGCAAGTAAAAAAAGCAAAAATGTTTTTAAAATGTTATGCCATGTATGAGGGGTGCTAGAAGATGCAAAGTGCAATATTTTCCTTAACCTGCAAATGTGGGAGCTTGGATCAATGTTTTAAAGTAACTTTCATTATAGTAAAAACGTTGGTTCAAATAAATTTCTATACCTGCTGTTTGCATGTTTGTTGCTTTCTAATTAAAAGATTTGGTTGTTTTAAGTAAATTCGTGTTTTTTCTTTGTGCAACCGTTGATTTTTCACCTTGTAACTATAACCCCATTACTGCCTTCATTTGCATTCTTCCTTACAATGTTTGTGAAGTGACAAACATGATTACTTCTTAGTGAGCACTGTGACTTTGAGACCCAATACCTCTTGGTTCTTGCATTTCCATGGGCGTAACCCACACATACATACACAAAGTTGTCTCTCCATCAGTTTTACTATAGTGCAACTTCACATTCTCCATGCTTGAATCTGAAGTGCTGGTGAAGTAGTTGTGTTTCACTAACAGATCCATGAGTATGCATTCTTTGCAACAACAGCAGATAGATCTTAATTTCCACTGGATTTAGAACAGAGAAAATGTAGTGTGAAGGAACATGAATTTGAAAATTCCTGTGCATTACTTGCTAGGAGTAGTTATTTGGGAAGGAGGGTAGTTCAGTCCGTGTAACGTGCTCTACCCTTCCCCCATACTTTTTTGGATGGCAATGGGGAAAAGGAAGGGAAGGAAGGAAAATGGAGCAGGGAAGAGTGTCTTTGCTCAATGGCTGTTCTTGCCAAGGGTGGCAGATGCTGAGAGGCTCCATTGGGAATTACAGAATGCCAGGAAGAATTCTAAATCAGACGGATAAAGGTACCAGAGGCTTCGTTACCCTGTTACCTTTAAAACATACATTCATCACACAAACTTTGCTTACATCAACAAAAAGAATTCCTGCCCCACCCCCTGGCCAAAGTGTAAATAACATTATTGCAACATTCTGATATCCTGATTCACAGTGCACTGAGCCTGAAAGGACTGGGGGGAAGGGATATAAATCACAAATAGTGGGAGATGGGGAAACTAAAACTGTTTAAGGAGATGAAGAGAGATTTTGTGAGGGGAGAGAAATGGACATTATATGGAACTCAGCTGGCAATAATGGTGAAGACATGCAAGGGAAGAACATCATCAGGAGATGGATGGGGTGGGTGGGTGGTTGGTGGTTTGGGTTTTTTTAAGCAGAAGGTAGGAAATTACCTTCTAGAAGAAGGTAATTACCTTCTAGAATAACAAAGTATAGAAGCTTTGAAAGTGATCCAGTGAAGTGAATTTAGGAAAGGAGAAACTAACTGTGGGGGAGAAAAGGTTTTGGAGTCAGAGGATGCTGAGAAGAATGGAGGTCTTGGAACACTGAAGCACTGCAGAAAATGGGAAACTTCACACCCAGAGGTTGGAGCAAGAGAGGATGAAAATCTGGTAAGCATCTGAGAATGTATCCACCATGAACAAGGGAGAGTGAAAGAAGCCAAGGTAAGTTGATTGGTTGGTTTTTAAGGTACGGAGTGAAAGTAGTGGCTGATGCAGGTATTTTGTCGTTTCTGGTGACAAGGAAGATGACTAAGTGGCCTTCTTGTTGGAGAAGGGAGAAAAACATTAGTTTTTCTTTATGACATTTCATTTTGGGCAAGCGTTTTTAGACCAGCAAGAAATTAAAGAATATTTTATGATTTTGTGGTACACCTGTTTGGGGAGGAGGAAACAGTGGTCTGGAACTATTCAGACCTTGCTGCTTATAGCACTGCACTGAGCAATATTTTTACTATCACATGTAAATTAGTCTTGAATTTTGTAACAGCGCAGTACTCATTAGATTTTAAAGAACTATACAGTAAATACACTATATTTATTTAGCGTATATATAAGTAGGGTTGTCTGCTGTTAGCAGTAAGGAATAAAGCTGTATTTCTGTTCTGTGTGGCATCTGTTGCAATGGTGGACCTCTTCCACAGCTAGGGATCCTGAGCAGCTCTGTGATGGAAATAGAATAACTCAATGTCTGATGCAGTTGTTAGGGCCTCTATAGATGATATTTGAGATTTACTTGCTTCCCAAAAGAAGCCTGACTTTTTATTTAGAAATGATCAACTTCTGCCTTTTGAAAACAAATTCTTTCTCAGGTAAGTATATGCAGAGGATACCCTTTGTCTTCACTAAGGAGGTTTTACAAATCATCACTGTGGATGTCTGTCTTTCTAAAAATAAAAAAATCTACTTCTGCCACTTTTGCTTTAGTCGTAGCAATGGCCAGCAAAGAGCATACAATATAAAACAAAACCAAAAATCTTGTAAATATATTTTTTTCAGAGTTCCCCAATAAGCACATTATTCCCAAAAGTTCTCTTATTTATTCAAAGGCTTTATATTAACTTGAATTCAAGATGCTTAGCTGTGGCTTTACTGATTAAAAGGAAGGTTGAATCTCAGTAAGGGCAAAGTTTAATATTTGGAAGATTTTTTTCAAACATCAGTGAAGCTTTTCAAGCAGTTTTTCTAAAACTAAGATAGCATAGTGTTTGGGTTGGGTTTTTTTCATAAACTTTTAGGTAATGGGCTGTCTCAGTTCCTAGAACCTTGTAATAATAGGAGCTGTTGGCAGGAACGGGAGGGATGCTGGTAATTCTGGAGTCTGTAGCAGCAAAAGAAAAATTTTAAGAGTTATTCAAATGTGCATAGAGGTTAATAAATAAGTAATAAACCAACCCACAATCCAAACCTCACAATTTTGGAAGCAAATCTTGTGAGCTGGGTGTGGTTTCAGACAGGGGGCTTTGAGGTGGGGGATGCTGCAGGAGCTCCCTCCAGTGCCACCACTCGCGCTGCATTTGTAGGAACGTGTCCTGTGTGCAGGCTGGGGGTGTGTACTTCAGGCTACCAGGGTTGCAACACTTGAGACCATCATTCTTCTTTTGAAGTAAGCCAATGAAAGGAAAAGACCAGGAAGGAACAGACCATAATACTTCTGATAAGCATCAAAGGACCAGTTGATTTAGCTGGCCACTAAAAAACACAGCCAAAGCCTTCAGTTTCATATTACAATAATAACAGCTCAAATCTGATGGACAGGACGGTGAGGGAGAACATGGGGAGGAGTTTATTTTCCCGCTTTGCAGACTGAAGATTGTACATCTGCTCAAGCCAGTCCTTCTGTCCTGCAACAGCTTGCTGTCAATGTTTACATCCTAGGAAGAGCATTTATCTCTTCAGATGTCATTGAACTTACTTGGACAAAGGATATTTCTTAAGACTGTTGCAAAGATCTAAAAAAACTTCCTTGATTTGTTAATACAATTCCTGGTAAATGATTTGGTGTCTTAAAGCTTGTGCAGATGGTTGCTGTAGGAAACCATCTCTTGTTTAAATACCGAAGATGCTGAGCCTGTTCAGACCGCTGTCTGCTTAAGTTCTAGTTGTTTATGCCTTCCCCTGATGGAGGCAGGACAAGGTTCATTAACAACATCCTGCATCACCTTTAACATTAAATTTTCTTACCTAAGCAGTAGATAAATGTAGCCTGAATAAAATATTATGGTAGACTATTGTGTATGTCCTAAACTCTTCCAGAAAATCCCAGAGGATGTTTCTGAGAAAGAAATTGCAGAAGTAAATGTTTAATACAGGTTTCACTGTCCTTGCACAAGCAAAATAACTATCATTGAAGTGTGTGTGTGCTTGTCTGTAAGGGATGGGAGAGTCTTCTTGCAGATGCTGCCTTGGAAAGCTGAGTGGTTGTGCCTACACAGTCTTTTTTTTTTTTTTTTATGGAAAGAGACCACTGAGCCAGGTTCAGTCTCCGAGGCTCAAGCCTACTGCAAAGGCCATTAACAGTCCTTGGGAATCCTCCACACTGCACTGTTTCATCAGCCAGACCTGACAGCACCGCTGAAAAAATGAGGTGCCAGTTAGCACCACTTAGGTCAGCACCCATGTTCCTCCTGGTCCACAGCCATGCCCCTACGAGAGGCCAACTCTGAAAGCCTCAGCTGAAGTACAGGAGATGACACAGAAGTCAGGTGTGAGGTCATCTGCCCTGCCTAAACAGACATTGATTTAGCCTTTGAAACAGGGGGTTAAATCAATTTTAAGCCATTTTCATGAATTATAACATGCCCAAATGCCTTGATGTAAGCATCCAGTTTGTCTTCACTGACATTCTCTACTGTTGAGTCTGAGTTATTTTTTAAGGTAACAGAGATTTATTTTCCTTAGTTTTAAATGTTCCTTTCATTTGCAATTGCTTTGTTCTTTTGATGAAAAGGTACCATCTGCCTTCTTAGTGCCTCTAAGAACTTTCTATCGGTGCTCCCCTCTAGATTAATCTCCTTTTGCTGGTGGAGCAAACTGAAGTCCAAAAAACTACTACTGCTAAGACTATTAAAAAACACAACAGGGTGTTTTGACTGGAAAAAAAATATAGGCATATGCTACCCTTAAACAAAGCTCCTTTTTTTCTGATCTGACTCACCATATTACAGTGATTCCTTTTTTTTTGTTGTTTTTGTTTTTGCAGGTGTAGGGCTGTACACTAGTATGATCCATGGAATTTGACAGGTTCTCTATACAGGTCAGAACTGATGGCTACTAATTTAGGAAAGTCTCACTTAAGTGAAACACCCCCCCAAATAGAGTTTGTTAATGGACTTTGCTACTAATTGGAAAACAAATCCCAGGGGATTTGCAGCTGTTATCAAGCAGCACTGCATATGATCTTCTTCCCCGCCCTGGGATGACTCAGTGCTCAGACCCCGTTTCCAGTATTTTCTCTTTCCTGACCTGCCTGTAGCCCCATGCAATCTCACCACCCATAGCTCCTATTTTCAGTCCTGGTGAGCAGTGACAGGAGAGTCAGGAGGGAGGGAGGAAGAGAGGGTTGTGGGGATCAGGAGCAAGGCTCTTTTCATTACCCAGGCACTGCCTTTGCCCAGCCAGTGAGGCAAGCCAAAGGCAAGTCTGCAAACCCCTAGCTCCTTTATCCCCAGTAGCCTCACAGCCCTCACTCCATTTCCCTAATTCCTGTCTCCTAGTGAACCCAAGGACTCTTTCCCTGCCTTAACTTCTCAAACATGGGTGGTGAAGCTTGCACCAAAAAGATCAAGAATTGCTGTTTTGAATTTTTCACAGCAGTGGACAGGGCTGTGCACCAGCCCTTCCCAGGACCCCGCTGCTCTGACAGCAAAT